GAAGAGGAGAAAAACATTGAAAACACTTTCAAACTTCTCCAGTACCCTAATTATTTTTATTCATTGTGAAACAAAATGCCCATAAAATATTCCAAAAAAAAAAAAAAATGGCCCCTCCTGAGAAACCCAATGAATCAAATAAATATATTATCCGGCCTACTAATTCTATCACATCTACAATCGAAAAGAATCTATCTAAAATCAACATAAAGGTTGATACTACTACATGCAAAACAATAAGACTTAGTCAATAATAAACAAAACAGTATGCTGAAGCCTGTAATAATTGTCAGAAAATATATATCGGAGAAGCCTCAAGGAATCGGAATTAAATTTATATGAATACAAAATGGTCATTTTGCAAAATAATACATCAAATATGTTAGTTGCCCACTGTAGCAAGACTGACCACAACTTTGACGTAAAAAAATGCTACTGTGATCCAATGACAACATAATTCGCTATGACGTAAATGTCTAGAGAGTCTCTTAATCGCAAGGTAAACTTGTGCCTTGGCTTTTACAACATTTCACCATTCCTGGCAGATCTTCAATATCATTGTTTGGAATACCTGCTTGCAAAAGTTATTGAAAGAAAGACTCTAAACGAATTCCGATAAAAAATAAAATTCTAAAATTCCCAGTACACCTCTGTCGTGAGTATGTGTAGCCTTACCAACATAAACAAAAATTAGTCCGATGAAGTCCTGAAGGACGAAAAGCGTCTCAAGTAAACGTCTTCCAATTTATCATACAATTTCTCCAATATATATATAGATAGATAGAGAGGGAGAGTCTTGATTTTTTTTTTTTTTTTTTTTTTTTTTTTTTGTCGCGATAACTTTAATATATTACTCTCGTTGAGTGGTTTATATGAGATTGTGTTAAGTGATCGGATGAAAATAGGTTTATGATGGCACTCTCTCATTCTCTCTTTTTCTCTCACTCTCTCATTCTCTCTTTTTCTCTCACTCTCTCATTCTCTCTTTTTCTCTCACTCTCTCATTCTCTCTTTTTCTCTCTCATTCTCTCTTTTTCTCTCTCATTCTCTCTTTTTCTCTCTTTTTCTCTCTCTCACTCTCTCTTTTTCTCTCTCTCACTCTCTCTTTTTCTCTCTCTCTCTCTCTTTTTTCTCTCTCTCACTCTCTTTTTTCTCTCTCTCTCTCTCTTTTTTCTCTCTCACTCTCTTTTTCTCTCTCTCTCTCTCTCTTTTTTCTCTCTCTCTCTCTCTTTTTTTTCTCTCTCACTCTCTCTTTTTTTTCTCTCACTCTCTCTTTTTTTTTTTTTTTTTCCTCTTTCTCTAGTCTAAAGACTCCGTTTAAGAGGTTCGCACTGGGTGGGAACTGTTCATTTTTATTGTTCCTTGAACTTACTTTTTCTTCGGCAACAATAGAACAACCAGACAACAAAAGATTTGGCGAATCAGAGATAAATATGAATACTTGAAGGAGGATGGGTTGGTAAGACTGAGTTTTATGTGCAGAAAGAACAACCCTATCGTAATTGCCGATAAAGGGTCAATAAAAAGAAAAAAATATTGTTATTTCAAGAATTCTCCAGACGACTGAATTCATTCTTTTGTTGTAGTTGTTGTTTTTTGCCACGGTGCTTCAGTGCACAATTCGTATTAGAAGAGAAATAAAGTTCTATATTCATTTCTAAAGTGGAAAAGAATGGGAAATAAATTAGTCGATCCCAGAAACTGACTTACATGCATAGGAACATACAAATGCCTTATCTAAATAAAGGGGAAGCCAGAAATTATAGTATGGCAAGCCACACACGACGCACGTTACGAAGCACTATACACGCCTTAAAAAATCTATTCCAAGTAATAGTATGCTTTTCTAAAATGCGAGAAATTTAAGGAAACTGCGTACACCAAAGAAGTATTGATTTCAAAGTATTGATTTTCCTGCTTAGTTGAAAAGTATTGAAGGTGTAACCCCACTCCAATGTTGTAAGTATAGTGAGTCCATCTAATTTGAAAATCAACGTTCGAATTTTAGATTTTACTTCGTTGCGTACATTGATCAGCGTCACTGGTGGATAAACGTAATTTATCTAACCTATCAAACAGGCATTACATTTATTAAGTTTAACTGAGTCTATCTCAACGCCATAAGAATGCAGAGCACCTAGTTAGATTCGAATTCACTACAATATCTATATTCTCTGCAAAAAGGTGCTAACCATTATTCCACATTCGTATATTTGTTTTTGTTACCGTGCTAATTTTTGTTTTATATTGGTGTATCACATCACCTGTATATCTCAGTGGTTCCCAAACAATGCGGTGCGCCTCATAGGGGCGGCGGAAGAGGATAGCAAATGAGGCGGAATGATTGAAAGACAGATTTAGAAATAGTTTTAAAAATTCACATGCCAAAAATAAATGATTTCAAAATTTAAAATATTATTATAGATTACTTGTAATTGAATACATAAGTCCCAATATAAATAGTTATAAGTAATTATTGACCAATTTTATCAATGTGATATTTTTGCATTATATCAAGTATTAAGAATATATTAACTAGGCCCCGAAAATTGGAGAGTTAACAATGATAATATTCTGACTTTGAATCCGTTGTTATCGCCCTTTAAACTTCTCTCTTTTTTATTTTTAAAAGTACTTTTACCACATAAAATTTGAAGTTCGAGCAAATTTTCATTCCGAATATGTATCCTAGAAAAAAAGTTTGGGAACCATTGGTATATTTAGATATCAATCCCGATTTACTGAGTTGAACAATGTTCGTTCTGTTTCACTAATTAAATAGTATTAGAATCGACTGGCTTTAAGTTTCATTTTTTTAAATCGATTTTCACTGTATGACTGATTTTGACAATCATAGTAGCGTGGAATTTTTAAGCAGCTTGTCAGAATCGGTGTACTTATGTACATTGTTTGAAACATTGATTGTGAAAGATATTAAACTTGGCATACTCTGCTCTGAAAGATAAATAGTTCTGGTGGGATGGAATTATGAAGTTGCCTGAGAGAAGGAACTGAATAGTAAATATGGTGTTCAATAAAGTTAATGTCAATTTTTAATTAAAATACGTCTTTTAATTTTTCTTATTAGATCAAACAACTTTTATGTGACTCACTATTTTCTATCTATCGCTTGCAGTTTGAATGCTTATCATAAACTGCCTCGATCGAGTTGACTCCTTCATTTCCTCTGTTTGTCATGTTTTCGAAGACCTTTGATCATTCCGAAAAGAAATGATTAATCTCTTGTATAATTGGTGAACAAACTGGTCCAGGCTGACAAGGTTTTTAACCTGGATCAACAAATTGATCCAGGCTAACAATATTTTTAGCCTGGAATAAAAAAAATTGATCCAGGTTCACGTTTTTAGCCTTAGAAATCCACACTCAATGTGAATGTTTTCACGTCCATTTTTTTGAAGGTAGTTAAGAACTTTATATATCACGAAATTGCCCGAGGATCTGTCTGGTAGTTGGGTTGAAATCTTGACACCCAAGTTAACAAGTGTAAAGAATCATGTTTGATCTATTCAACTATTTTTAAAGAAGTCATTACTCTCGGTAAACCTGCATGGATCACATTTTGGTCCGTTTTCATCCAATCTAATCAACTTAAATGTTTCTTGCCCAAACACAGCTGCAGAATGGTTTTGATTCCTTTCCGTTTGACTTTGGCGAAAAGTTTCACTTTTACTGGTCATTAGGAAGATCAAGAAACAATACAATTTATCATTGTCATGGCACCTTTCAGTTTGATTTTATTTAGAAATCGATAGAATAATTTAAAGTTCTAAAATAATACATTAGTTTCTCCTTCTAGCAACCATATAGTTAGATAGGGAGAAAGTGCAAGAGAATTTTGGGGATTTGTAGCATTTTGCAGCGGTAGAAGGGTCTCGTTCCCCCCGAATCTGATACACCCCACTCCGAATCTATGCAATTTTCATAATGTAGTATTCATATAAAATGCAAATTGTATTGTCATTTATGTACTATTATGTATCATGTGCAGTATAGGTGAACAATTCAAACAGAAGAAATTAAATCAATGTTTTTTCTTAAAATGTTGAATAATTTTAACAAGTAGAAGGACGAATATCATAAAATCAAGTGGAACTGATACATACGGTCCATTGCTAAAGATTCAGGTAAAATGGTGGGTTCTCTGTACCACTCTGATTCCTCCTGCTATCCTCTACCTTTACGAGAACTCTATCAGACCAAAAATAAAGTACCGTTGTCCTATTTGGGCGGGAGCTGCTTAAATCACTCTCCAACCTTGATAGTCCAAAAGCATTTCTGTGACCTTGTAGATGACGAATTATTCTCCACCCTCTAACCTCTCTCCCATAGGCGGGATGTAGCAAGCCACTTGCTGATCTGTCCCTACTTCCACGAAAAGTGCTCGGACGAACTACATTCCCTGTCACCGCCAATTCAAGACTTCACGGGGAGGGCACACCATGCCACTTACATAGTAGCAAACCACCTACATTCCCTCCGTCATATGTAAGTTACACTCTAACCGCTTCCCATGAACCACTGTTCTGTGAAGATGACTTCCAAGTAGATGTTTCCCCGATCACTACAATCTTAACCTGTTCAAAGCTAGTGTTATCTTACACTCCTATCCACACAAATTGTCTCTTAATGTAACGCTCTACCTCCAGTGGCCCCGAACCTTGTAAAGAGTGAACCTTATTGTAAAATAAAAAATCTTAAAAACGATTTCTGATTTAAGAGCCTTACCTTCAAACTACTCATCCACACTCATCAATCTATTAATTTCTGAAAGAGCAAGAATTGAGAACAGAAAAGAATTTCTGATTTTTTCCTCTGAAACAAAACACAAAAAGCAAATAAACTCGGGTTAGAAAAAATTATTTTAGAAAAATATAAAACAAATATTAGTGAAAGGAGTGGGAGTTTCTATTTTTTTTTTCTTACCGCCTGCTTCTGTCTTTCTGTATTTGTGCTGCCCATTGTACTTTTCATTTGTGTCCATGACTCAACCCGTTGTGAGTCGGTATAAGGGGCTGGGTGACAGCCCGACGGAGATGCGGACATATTCAGTTGAACGGTATGACCTCTCTGATAATGTCAATGAGCATAATCGTTTTAAATGTATTTAGGTGGATGGATGTTTTCATTTTTGGAATTAATGTCTGGCTTTTAAAACTGTCGTTATGGAGTCAAGGCTGTAGGTATCTTCATAGATGATCTTTCCCTTTGCAATTTGGAAGGTGCTGAAAAGTTCCCGATCAAACTAAAGACTCTGTGGTTGCATCATTTGATCCTATTTTAAGAAATAGGTCAGTGCCCCCTCTGAAATATTTGTGTGTGTGTGTATATATATATATATATATATATATAGGGAGGGAGAGAAAGTGAGGAACAGAGAGTGGGATAGATAATGTACAGACTGAGATGTGTGTTAAGTGAGATTTACAGAGTCAAAATATATTTTTATGAATATATTCGTCGGATAGCGTCTATCGGCGCTGATTTCAAAACTAGTTTGTTGTTGAACTGTCAACATCACCCTATAAAATTCAATTTGTTTGCCCCGTAAAGCACAGCAGCAACACCTTGCTTGGTGATTTGACATATTTATTTATTCGGTGTGAGTCCTAGGCTTAGAACTGATTCCACAAGGAAAGGTAGTGGTTTTGCTTTAGCCTCATGAAAAATGTAGCCTGAGTAATTTTACATCAATTTAATTCTGTTTTGTTTTTCTTTTTAACTCGTAGCCTCTTGTCGACAATTTAAAGTAGGCTTACAGTCATATCATGCACCATCGATATTTGCAGCACAAATTTATTTTACAAACATAGAAATGATTTTTATATAATGGTGCTTTTAAGCTAGTTTCTTTATTGCTTTTATGGGCACATGGCCGAGTGGTTAAAACGTTCGCTTTCTGACCATGAGACCCGGGTTCGAATCTCACCATGGCTGATTTATGACGAAGGTGTTATCGGTTCGGAGAAGACGATCTCAACGTCTGAAAACCATACCACGGTTGACCCAAGCCTTGTGAGTGAAATTGGGTAGATAGAAGCCTGTGTTATCACGGTCACAAATCATTGTGAACGTACTGGCGTTGTTCAAACTGTTAATAACGCGCACAAGTTCGCGCAGAATAGTTGCAGTATAAGCTTCAGCTTGTCTCTGTGGATGTTGAACACACATGTGCCTGAGCAGACATCTGCAACAGACAGGCATCCTCGGATATGAGTGGCCAGCCATTCATTGCCTTTATCACAACCTTTTGACCGTTGTACTTTTCGGCCTTCTTTATCCGCTTGTCGCATTTGATGACCTTGTGAAACTGTCGATCGGAACATTTTATTTGATCTACGGATATATCGTCATTTTCTTTATACTAAACTTCACTCAATTCAAGGCTCATGGTAGAGGGTTACTGAATAAGATGTGATATGAAAGTAAAAGGAGGTAGAAGGAAATTTAGTATATATTTAACTTTTAGTTGAAAAGGTTAAGTTTCTAGTGTTCATCCACGCAGAACTTAATTCTACAAAGTGGCAGTCTCGAAGCTGGAGGTGTGTAAATGCTGTCTGAATAAAACTTCCTCCTTACAAATGGAATACGAGGAAAACATTCGTGCTTTGACTCCATGGAAGTAATGACATATCCTAGTTATAAAGGTATGGACTAGTGGAACTAAAGAGTGGAGCTTATCTGAACATTTGTCAATGAGATGACGATAAAGTAGTGATAGGCTTGCAACTTTGCGTCTGTGGAGAAAGAGGTAGTAGATTGGAAAATGTCATAAACTACAAAGACGCCTCAACGATTATGATCTGTTTCAAGGTTGTTAAGTCAGGATTCATCGCCTCAGGCCAGAGATGACAGCAATACTCCATTTTCGTCTCATCTGATTTTTGTCGGATATAGCATTGTCAGAAGAAGACAGGCACTTTCTGGTGTGGTACAACTCTGCCGGCAATTTTTCCAACATTTTCCTATGCTCGCTATTCTTCTCAGAGAAGACCAGAACTCAAAAAATATCAGTTTTATTTTATGTCACTCTGACTTCTTTACAAAGTCACTACAGCCTAACCCAGAGATTGAATTCACAATTTATCGGGGTTTTTATCTATTAAGTCATACAGTAACTTTTCTACAAGATATATGCTTGTAAATTAAAACGATATTAAAATTTGAAAGGTGGTCTGTTTTGTGGCTGGGTTTATTTTCACACCTTTGGGAGGTCGATGATCGAACACATGTAAACATTTAGTTTCCGAGTATTGATTAAAAACCATCTAAGTTCTCCCTAAATTTGTTCACATTTCACGTATTTCGTCTTTGTATCTTATTAAAGTTAAGTAAATATTAACCAAATAAAAGAAGAATGAATTCCATATTGAAGCAGTAATTCGCTTTCATTTGACATCCTGTAGGAGGTATAAAGTTAAATGCTACATTGTTGTCGTCTTTCACGAAAGAGAAGGTGCCGGATGGGATAGAGAGGTCAGGAGGAGAAATTCGTAATAACTTTTTTTCACGAGTGCGTAAAATAAACTAAAGTTATTTATTTGGCAGGTAAACAAGGTTGATTTCCTTTCATGTAACGCACGGCTTGTTTCGTAGTTGTCATTTAAGAGCGTCTTTGAATTACAATACACACTATCTCGCTTACTTTCTCACTCTCTTTCTCCCCTATCTCTCTCTATCTCTGTGTGTGTATGTTTTTGTCTGTGGTATTTTTAGATAAACTGAAAAGTTAATTTTCTTTCAAATATTGCACATTGACCCAAACTACAAGGTTTTCTTTCTTATTTTTGAACATACTGCAACATTATTAAATAAATCGTCCTATTTAGTAATCGTCCTATTAGTAATGCTTGCCTTAATTCCTGACCAATGACAGCCGGTTTTCTGCCTTTCACTTTTTTACATGAGACATAACACAGTACCATTCAAATGTCGTCAGCTATTTTAAATTTCTAATAATTTCCAGCTTGTAAGACGCTGTTCGAATTGCATTTTCTCCAAAGGAAACATTGACTCAATTTGAGTCATTTCTATACCTAATTGTCATAGCTGATTTCATAATATGAAAGATGAAAACCAAAAGGTTTCGATCACCTCATTAGCTGTGAGATGCCATTTTCTTTGGTTGGGTTCCCACAAATCTTCAAAATTGTGTGGATTTTTCGAATGAACTTATCTCTTTCGATCTGTCCATATTTGTTTGGTGATACTGTGCTGGCCAATCTTTCAACGCAGTGCCACCGTCATCAGCGAGGCTTTTATGTTGCATGCGATCAGAATTAATGAGCTCTGTCATGGAGAAAAATCTCGCCTTCATCTAAGTCGGCTGTCAAATTATCAGCATCGTCCTGGGCATGACGATAAACTACATCCAGCAGCAAGGACTCTGATCGAGAGGTTTTGAGGAGCATGTAACCACCTCTTAATAGCTGTTGTTCCCAGGTCCATCATGACTGAGTGGTAGAACCTGTTATGGTCCCAGCTGTAGCCAAATAGGGTTAAAACATTATGAAAGTATAAAATACATCTTTGTAGTAAGAATACAACAATACATTTTCATAGTAAAAAGATTTACCAGCAATACATATTGAAAAAGGAAGATAAAATTTACCAACAATACATTGAAAAAGATTACCAAAGTTGACAAAGTTAAATTTGGGCATTAAATGACCCATAAAGAGTTGATATGCCCTTAAACAAACCAAACCAGATTGTCAACAACTGGATTTATTTGGCACTATTCAAGACTGCGTCAATTTTAACCAACCTCGTTTTATAGGTTAAATAAGTCCAGTGAATAAACGCATCCTTTAAATCGCTTTCTATTTTTCTGTGCTAAATTCATTTACTCTCCCAATTCGGGTGGTCTGTTTCCAGTAAATTTTCTGAATTATTCAAATAGTGTTGCCGAATAAATAAAACTTCTCTAACAGTTCAAATAGATCCTTGTCTCGTACCTTATTTTGTTCTGTTATTTAAAAAACAAAATATTATGCATAACAGCCGTATTTCGATATGTATACACTTTTCGTTCGAGCAGTTCGTCTTTAGCCTGGATTTGTTCCTCCTCTTTGTGTTTAATATTCTGTATTCTGTGCCATTTCTAGATATTGTTTGCTGTTTCTTTCATCATTTGGAGAAATTTATGTCATCCTCTTCTCTTTTCCTTGTCTCTCTCTTTATTGGGATAATCTCGTTCGCCGATGTTTCTAAAGCTTCCATTAAGGTGTTCAACTTTGAATTTCTGATCTCATCTATGCTATTAAACTTGCTAAACGACAATGGCGTCTTGAATAGTACTTATTCATATTTAATGTTGTTTGTTTTTTTGTTTTTTGTTTTTTTTGCTACAATGCAAAGATAAATGAAGTGATTAATGAGTACCGAACCCACTAATGTGATAACAGTCCGTTTATTAGCTATTGCTTTCCAGCGCAAAACTCACTTTTACCTAGTCTGATACAAGGCTATAATTTTGGTGTACCCAATGAGGATCGAATGCACTACCGTCGTAATAATTTACAAGACTGCCTAAATCGATTTTTTTTCTCTGTAAGAATACCATGGACGTCGCACGTAAGCAACGAAGTCTTTAAAGAAATGTAAACAAAAAGGACATTTATACTCAGAATCAGAAAGAGACTGGAACTTCTTTGAAGCAAATGCGGAAGGAGAACTTGGAGAATTTAACACTCACAGGTTATATCGAAGGAAAAAACGAGAGGGGAAGGAATACATTATCTGAATAGATGGCAACGGGACAAACGATGCTAAGAGCTACAAGGGATAATAGATTGTGGAGAGCTATGAACGTCCACTTCCTGAAAGGACACAGCACAAGAGCAACAAACAGAATCCAACATACCTGTGACGCCATAATTGTTTAAATTTCGTAAATCTATTCAGGCGTAGACTTTTCTTTTTCCCTGTCATTACTTGTCTTTGTATCCATTAAATATCTTGGCCCTTTCAGGAAGTCTGTTCAAAGGGTAGTACAACACTGTTACTTAGAGCGAGCTTTATTTTATTTATTTGGTGTCTATTAGGACCAGGAGACGTCCTAACGCAAATAATCATTTGAGAATGGATATCTA